TATTTTATTTCAGATTGAAATGTATTCCATAAAGTAAGTACATAACTTGTAGTAATATTTGACAATATTAAAAATAATAATTGTATCAATATATTATCTTAATTTAATGCTAAATAATATTGTTAATTTACATTCTAAAATCAATATAGAGTGATATCATTTGAGTGGTATCTTCACCAATTAGTGTGTCTACAACCGTGCAATGAATCAAAACGTGAAATCATTTCAATAACACCAACAATTAATTGTAGTTAGTTTAGTTCTGAAATGAACAATTATCTTATATTACATGTTTTTACAAATAAGTACTTACAAATCATAGTCTTTCCGAATCTTGAGATTTGTTTTGTTTTCTCTCTTCTGTCAGTCATGAGCAGGTTCTAGTTCTTCTCTAGTTAGACTAGACTCAGATTCTACAGGCAGACTAACTATCGTTGGTGATAAGGATGCAATATTTCATCAAGGTTGATAAAAGTTCAACTCGCTTTTAGACTTCTCGGTTTCCGGTAATAGTGGAATGGTGGATTGCGAAGAATCAACACAAAACATTTATATTTTCCTGAATAAGCCTGTTCATTCATATTTATCTACCTGAATTAAATTAATTTAACAATATTGTACAGTTAATGTTTGTTATTAAATACCACGATTTGTGTATATTTTTCTTGAATCCAATATAATTCTACTCTAGATATCTTGTAGAAAAGGAATATTAAAATTACCCCTCCTGAGGCATACGTCAATACTCCGTTTACCTGTTTAGTTTTTCACCAAAATATAGCCAAAATATGTCAGATTTACTCCCTATTAAATAAAATATGGTTTATTGGGTACTCTTCTATGGCCAAATGTTAATAGTTTAGTATAAAACAAATTTGATCAAACTATATAGATATTTATAACTGAAACTATAGTTAACTATATCCACAAACCATGAAAATAAAACGGTCAATTGTTCTCTTAAAAATTGCCTCAGGATTTTAAATTTACATTTTCACCATATTCAACGTACACCAACGCTTAAATTTAGGCTACAAAATTATTTGTATTTTTGAGCTCTACAAAATAAACTGATTTTCCAGACTTCCCTTCTTCTTGTTAAGCCTGTAGATAGTTTTGACATTGTCGAGATTTTCATTATCAGGCACTGCTTTTGTATATTGATGCTGACGAAATTTTTCTTACTTATTTTTTAGAGTAAATTTAATAATAATTTTCATTTACTATTTGGTTGAAAGGCAAAGGTAAAACAGTGTGAACAAATACATAATTCTCTTAGTTGAGATACATTTGAATTTCATAAAATAGTTTATGGATAAAGAACTAATAACACAACGTGCGCAAAGGCACCTAATGGACATAAATGTATAAGGTATTATGATCTATGATGGAATATTCTAATCTAAACTCTTTAAGATATTTTTTGATTTGCAATATTTGACTATTTATAGTGATTTGAAGCAGATTGTAATTTTTATCATGAATGATTCAAATACTTTTCAAAATTAATAGCACAGTTAGTCAAAAATGCTTAAAAACAACGAGGGAAGCACCTAGTAAAAATATGCGGTTTTTTTAGAGTGAAAAATAATTGAGCACAAATTGTTCATTTTGATATTGTGTTGCTATTAACTTGTTTCCAAGGCAAAACGAATCCAATGAAATAACCTTTTACCTTTAAAAGATTATGTTCGTTTCACTCAATTATTAGGTGAATAAAACTTATAACTTATGATAAATTAAATTTATTGGTTGTAGATGTACACCTTAAGAGTGAATTACTTACCTTAATCAGGTTACAATTATCACCTTACCCTTCATTAGCTTACCTTATTATTATTAAATAAGGTAGGCTATTTTAAAATTCATTTTCATAAACTGTTCCGTCTCTTATTTACAACATGACTGTTGTTAAACATATACCTGGGGGATCAGCTGTTAACATTTAACTGGGGGATCAGCTGTTAAACATTTAACTGGGGGATCAGCTGTTAAATCACGATTCAAATGTTAACGTTATAAAGAAACAAAACACAAGAGGGGTGAAGCCCTAAAGAAATCACCTTTTCGTTAGCATTAGTCACTCTGCTACATAATAAGCTTTAAAACGTCACTTCAATCGTAAAGATCGGTCAAGTAGGACAACTGAAAAAGGGGTGTTGTAACATGTTAAATTTCGCCATGACATTTTTTTTTATAAGGAGCCGATTTAGCACCAATGCAATGTCACAAATGTAAATTTGTAAATCCCGCCAACGTTTGAGTCGGCGGCTTCCATTCGCACAGCGCCGGGCGCTCTGCGCATGCCCGACTGGACCTGCGCACAAGCGTCGTCCCCGGCCGTTGCACCACACGCAGCTCCAGCTCTTCGAGACAGTCGAGGCCAGGACACGAGAGAGAGCAGACTTCAAGTTACCTGACAGTCGAGTCAGGGAGTCGACCATACCCACTACGAGGGCACGAGACAGACGACTGTCAACCACGCACGGGTCTCCGAGGACCAAGTACGACGACTCTGTATAAGGTAGTCATCGCCTTGCTTTGAATCAGACATTTGTCATTCCGTTCGTTCAAGTCTAGTACACGATCAAGTTTCATTGAATATTCGGATAAAGTCAGCTTAATGTAAAACCTGCTTGTGCTAATTGTTCAGTATATTTATTCTTCAGTATATTGTTCAGTACATTTAGTACTGATCGAGAGTAAACATAATTGCAGACATACATTGACATTTTGCCTCTCACATAATTCGATACTTTTACATGTAGTTATAGTAATTGAACTCGATTGAACAATAATTACATTCAAAGGAATTTACCGTATCTCTTATCTCTTATCCTCAAACATTGGAGGAAACCATTTAGCTGTTGTAGTCTTATTTACTGTGTGTTGTGTGGTTTTAAATTATTTACTTAACGACTATAACCGAAGATATCTAACGTTTTGTGTGACGAATTATCTGTAGTGTAAACAGGTAAATACTGTGCGATATCAAGTGAAGTTCTATCTCAACTAAACGACTATAATCAAAGATATCTAACGTTTTGTGTGACAAATTATCGGTAGTGTAAACCGGTAGAAGCTGTGCGACATCAAGACGTGAGAGCTGATTGAATATTCGAGATACTAGCTTATTTGTGTAATCTGTGTAAATATCAGTGTAAACCATCCTTTCCCTGTGGTTCGCCCGCAGCATCCCCCGATCCTACCTGTGGTTCGCCCGCAGCAATTAGCTTTAGTTAGCTTTAGTTCCCTGTGGTTCGCCCGCAGCAATTAGCTTTAGTTAGCTTTAGTTCCCTGTGGTTCGCCCACGGCAATTAGTTGTAGTTAGCGATAAACCCCTGTGGTTCGCCCACGGCAATTAGTTTTAGTTAGCTTTAATTCCCTTTCCCTGTGGTTCGCCCGCAGCATCCTCCGATCCTATCTGTGGTTCGCCCGCAGCATCCTCCGATCCTATCTGTGGTTCGCCCACAGCAATTAGCTTTAGTTAGCTTTAGTTCCCTGTGGTTCGCCCACGGCAATTCGTTTTAGTTAGCGATAAACCCCTGTGGTTCGCCCACGGCAATTAGTTTTAGTTAGCTTTAATTCCCTTTCCCTGTGGTTCGCCCGCAGCATCCTCCGATCCTATCTGTGGTTCGCCCACAGCAATTAGCTTTAGTTAGCTTTAGTTCCCTGTGGTTCGCCCACGGCAATTCGTGTTAGTTAGCAATAAACCGCTGTGGTTCGCCCACGGCAATTAGTTTTAGTTAGCTTTAGTTCCCTGTGGTTCGCCCACAGCAACTAGTCTTAGTTAGCGATAATACCCTGTGGTTCGCCCACAGCAATTAGTTATACTTAGTTATAATAACCTTTCCCTGTGGTTCGCCCACAGCATTTAGCTTTACTTAGCGTTAGTTCCCTGTGGTTCGCCCACGGCATTTAGTTATAGTTAGCGATAAATCCCTGTGGTTCGCCCACGGAAATTAGCTGTAGTTAGCGATAATTCCCTGTGGTTCGCCCACAGCTCTTAGCAATAATATCCTATCCTTAACTGTGGTCCGCCCACAGCACTCCCCGATCCTTAACTGTGGTTCGCCCACAGCATGTGTAAATAGGTTACTAATATTTGTGTGCTTTATATAACTATATTTCAGGTGTTGCAGTATAGTAGTGACTATTATAATACGTGTGTGACCTGAATAACGGTATTTTAGGTGATTGTAGTTTCAGCGATTACTAGTGTGAGCGTGTTTTTATTTAACTGTATTGTAGGTGTTTGTGTGAAATAATCATATTTTGCAGCATAGCTTCTTCCCGTTCCCCAAGATCGACGCATCCGTCCTAACTGTGGTTCGCCCACAGCGATCCGTCCTAACTGTGGTTCGCCCACAGCAATCCGTCCCGAACTGTGGTTCGCCCACAGCACTCCGTCCCGAACTGTGGTTCGCCCACAGCACTCCGTCCCGAACTGTGGTTCGCCCGCAGCGCACCTTTCTTTCCATATAGAGAACAAATATGGCAATGATGATAACGAGGGTTCGATTGTTGGAGATTTTATATCTCATACCCTGTGTCTGAGCCATCCGTTCTCTTTTCAGGTTATTAGTCCGCCCTTTACTGTTGATTCGTTAGACATTTCGACCCCTGAAACCGCAACCCAGCGCGACTAGCTATCCGGCAACCGGGTCAAAACCGGACTCGCGTATTTTCCGAACGACTCCCCCGGAAATACGTCGTAGTGTTACATAGAAACCCCTTACTGTATTTAGTATACAGTATATAATGTAGAATATACAGTAGATACTGCAAAATAAGTTGAATATACGATTTTTTATTTTACAAAAAATGTATTTGTGTAGGGTACTAAAATTTGGCGACAACTTATATATTAACAATAGGACAGTTTGAAAAATATATTTAAACGTTACCTTTCTATATCTAGTGTAAAATATAAATACGTACTTCAATTTATTTTTAAAATGAAAAAAATAAGAAATCTTCGGGAAATTAAAACTACTGGCATAGTTTGGCCATTTATTTTATTTCATACAATACAATTGAAACAAATACAGTTATAAGGTTAAGATCTTGAAAATGCATCCAAAATATTTAAATATAACATCTATATCTAAGTCTAGTGTATAGTCTGATATGTAGTGAGTGCATCTGAAGGTGCACCTTATGATATGTATGCTGACTCGCCCCGACTGTAGGACGAACGGAACGCAAGTAACAAGAACAGTAACAGCACATCTACATGCACTTCGGACAGGTCTACACTCATAAATGCATCGGAAACTCAACTTGTATTCTATAAAATATGAAAACTTAACAATAATAAATGCTACACATTGTACTCATTAGTATATATAAATCTTACAACAGAGGTGTATTATAAAAATATCGCTCGAAGCCAAATCAACGTCAGATAAATCTATCGCACTAGGGAAGCTAGGAATAGAATGGGCAGAATATTAATGTCATCACAAATGAATCGAGAATACAAAAATAAACTGTTACATCACCAACAACGATTGGCAGACAGGTTGTCATGAGACTTACTCTATGTAGAATAAGCCTGAAAATAACCTAAAATATTTTCAGTTTTTCAACTATATATCGGTATTGCCCTTTTTAAATTCCCATTCTTTCAACCATCGTGTTTTACATTGAACAGGTCAATTTTATGTTGGTTTTCATTGTCGAACATTTCAAATTCTTTGAAAGTGGTTTTTAACTAGGGATGATATTTGTTAGGTACTTATAACAAATTTCTGACCCATTTCTGACAATAATAGTTAACGAAATCTAAAAAATATTTAGGCCCATACAGGTACTTTGAGGGACTTGAGGACGATTTACTACTAAAACGCCTCTAATTCAGTTTATACTAATATGTTGTAAAATAGATTTTTAAAATAACAAAATACAATAACTTATCGTTTGTTTTTAAAAACGATATTTAAATTGTAGATACTTAACCAGCTCTTCAACAACACCTTCTAATAATATTTTACAAAGCTTTATACTATATAACAGAAGTACAATTTGCAGCAAACTGTCAACATAAGCGGTGAGCAGCCTTAAAGTACTAAACTTTGTGCACATTATTTGAAACCTTACCTTAAAAACTTAACAAGTATAATATCACATAAGTTTTAAACCAGGTAAGCGATGAGATGTAAAATATCGTACTTTAGTCAACACGCTTATAGTCCTTAGTATAAAAGTGTAAAAAATGATACAATGAAGTATTTAAAAGCGGTTGATAGGATTTGAGAAAAAAATTTATAGAATAAAAGACGACACTTTTTGACATCCGTAACTTACGAAGAATGCTTTACCCCGAACAAGGACGTAGGCTTTCCTTTACCAGAACATGTAAAGCACAACGTGGATTAGACTGAACCAAGCGAAATGTAAGTAACTAAGGACAAAGGTATTCATAACCTAAACAGTTACAGAAATAACCAGTTAAAATCACTATTTTAAGTAGGCCTTGGGTAGGGAGTTACATTTAACATAAAACAGTGTATCGGCCTTAACGCTGTATACTGTTGACTAGGAGCTACTAGGTCTCTGGGACCCTCTGAAACAAAGCAAACAAATCAACAATGAAATTTTATATTTCTAACGTTTTAAAAAACGTGTGTAAAAGGTTTTATACTTTCCGAGATACAAATTCCCAAAACTGTGTCCATATTTTTGAATGACCATGTATACTGATACACATAAGAAAACTAAATATAAAATATTTTTTTTTTTTACTTGGTATTTTATAGTATAATATCACAATCATCAGGGCTATAACTACACGCCAATCTACCAGGTGGTGCTTGCAAAGAGCTATAATTAACTCTACCGCTCACAAACGGGAGGTGGTAAGCTGCTCCCCCGTGCCTGGGACGCCAGCGAGTGCGTCGTGCAAAATGCTTGTCTTGACTGTACTCTTCCATTCCTGACCTAATCTCTTAATCCACAGCCACCTCTAATACACTTAATCCCTTCCTTGCGGGTGTGAGTAAACTGTTCTCCCTCTCTATACTGTAAACTGTACTCTGTACTGTGTAAACTGTTCTCTGTTTGATTTATGTTCACTAAACTATTGAGTTACAGACTAGTTAGAGTTCAATTGTGTAATAGAATGTAAGTATAAGTTAAGGTAACAAATAAATTACAGCAACCCATTCTATTTTCCGAACACTATGCTACAATGATTGTCGTACCACTACGCAAATATAGTGCGTTATCAAATTTGGTTTTTGAGCCATGCCACACCGAAAGTACCATGCCCGCGGCGGGAGTTTGGGGTGATTTTCATCACAATTTGTTTTACATAATAATTACATCTTACCTAGGCAAGTTTGTAAAGTTTCTGTAACAAACTGTTTTTAGAAGTAATTTAATTTGTTTTAATAGGGTTGAGAATAAACTATCCACTTTCACTTGTGTTTTCAACGATATTTTTCGGTACACTACAAAGACTAATTACTTTTTAAATAAAAACATTCATTGGAATACTGAATTTCTTTAATCCAGTTAAGAAAGCTTCAAAACTAATGACATATTTTTACCTAGGCCTTAAATAAAAATTCCAAATTTACATTGATTGGACAGTTTTGGTTGTTGAAAATTGAAATTTATCAAACAATTACAAATAATGTTTGTTTGTTTACGTCGACAACATAAAAAATATGATAGGAAACATTAAATTTGCACCGTAAACATTCTTTTCGCATGGAAAACAATAATGCATATTTCTGGTGATAACATTATACGAAAATTGAACACAATTGATTTTGTGTGGTATGTCTTGTGGTAAAACGTCCGTGCGCGTACTCCCGCGGAAACAGCTGACATACTAGAGCACAATCTACAGCATAATCATGACCCCGACGAAAGCAAATATTCAGTCCAAGCGATATCAAATAGCTGCAAAAGAAAGCAACAGAACAGTTGATTGAGAAACCCGAGAAAATCATTAAATTGGAATTAGAATTAAGTAGTGGAAAGGAAACAGTCACTGAAAAAGATATCTCGAAGGCCAGGAAGAATATTTACAATGCGAGAAGAAAATCTTTGCCACCTCTACCTAAAACTTTACTTCAAACTCAACTGGCGCTGGATGGCATGAACATTGAAACCGACCGGTGTGAGAACTTTCTATGAGAAAACGATAAGGAAAATAAAATTGTGATATTTGGAACAGAGAGAAATATAGAAATGCTAAAAGACAGTGACTTTGCTAATGGATGGAACCTTCGACTATTGCTGTGACAATTTCAAGCAGATGTTTACCATTTTTGCAGTGAAGAATGGACACTACATCCCACTTCTGTTCACCCTTCTTCCTCATAAGAAGGAAACAACATATGAAGTTCTTTTTAAGAATATTCAATCTGCAATGGGTGACCACTGTACTTATCTTTGGTTGCAGATTTCATCTGACCCAGAGTTGGTAAGTTGTTTACAAATTTCCTTAATGGATCTAAAGTATTATGATCGTACCAACGGTAGTAGGACCGTAGATGCTGTGTTACTGTAAGTACGCGTGTATAGCCTTTAATTTCGGTATACTTAAAGGCAAAATTATTAATAACATTGATAAACACTATTGATTTTTATACCTACAAGATAATGAGCATACTATTATGATATAGGTACTCAGTATTTTGTTATAGAATATTTATATGTGTTTACCCTTTGTGAGTGAGCTGGTGTCATTCCAAGTATATTAAGATTAATAGTGTGCAAGACAAGCCACGGGAGAATGGAGGGAAACTGTACAGGAAGAGAAAAAACGAAGTAAGAAGTAAAAAAAACCAAGTTATTTGGCTGAAGGCAAATAACCCATTCTATTTTGACACAACCATTAGTGATGAAGCGATACACCAACTACAAGAAAGAAGCTCTTGACCAAACGGTGTAACGTTGGTGTAACGTTAAACCAAACGTTTAAACAAACGAAATGTCAAATACACATCTCTAATAACCATTTATCAATTCTTATTCTTAACTAAATAAATGAACTATCAGATAAATTTGTCATTCTTTAGAACTTAAATAATATCGGGCAAACAAACGGTGAATCTGTTGAAAGGGAAAATATTGTAGGTTGTTAGCTGCTTTAGCCATTGACAATCTTTAAATAATGCTTCGCTCATTTATGCGTCTAAAGTGTTACGGCAGACCACCCTAGTGTATCAGTTTATTTTAGTTAACTACACGGGAACATTACTTGACCAATGAGGGTCAAGAATTAAGAGAAAAAGTAAAATAATTTAAAAAAAGTTAAACAATTATTGTAATGCTTTGAACTTCAACTAACCATCTCTTTACCAATTTAAATGTTAACGATAGGTGCATTTAGTGATTGGTACAACGAGTCGTCGCATCTCTGTCAGTGGCAATGAGAGATTATACATAAACGAAAACATAACCTCTTCTGGAAATCGGGTTTAGTGATTATTAATAATTAAAAACCGGTCGTAGGTAAAGTATTCCAAGAAACTCGTGTAAATAGTATTATTTCTATATTGATACAGTAACTAGTATATGTTTTTAATAATGAGTTTTTATTTTTTCATTTAGTATTATTGATTATAAAGAGAGTTTAATTATGTTCAAGAGTTTATTATAATACTAAAAAAATATTATTATTTCTATATTGTTAACTAGTATATTTTATTTTGTATAATGAGTCTTCAATTTTTTAAAGTATATTATTGTTAACAAAGAGGGTTTAATTATTTTCAACGGTTTATTTCAATATATAAAAATATGATGTTTTTTATTGATAAGAAATCAATGTTTTTTAAGTTTGAGTTTTTGTATAGTTTGGATCTTTATTGATCATAAAGATCGTTTGATTATATTTATGATTGGTCTGAATGTATAGACTATTCGTTAATATTTCACAAGACAAGGAAATACAACATTTTACCATTTAAAAAAGTTTTCAATTATTTAATATATCCCTAAAACTCGTAAACTTTTGAACGTAAGTATTATAAGTGGGATGCTAATGTGTGCATTATTCAAGAGCAACACAAATTTGAGAACGCAATATTTGTTATTTCAGAAATTATACAATTTTAAGCAGTGTTCAATTTTTTTACTTTCTAAAGACTATCATTGGGCCATAGTGTTTGGAAAACTGAATGGGTTGCTGTAATTTATTTGTTACCTTAACTTATACTTACATTCTATTACACAATTGAACTCTAACTAGTCTGTAACTCAATAGTTTAGTGAACATAAATCAAATGTATGCAACAGCCAAGGGAGAACAGTTTACTCACACCCGCAAGGAAGGGCTTAAGAGATTAGGTCAGGAATGGAAGAGTACAGTCAAGACAAGCATTTTGCACGACGCACTCGCTGGCGTCCCAGGCACGGGGGAGCAGCTTACCTACGGCCCTCACAAACTACATTTGGAGTTTCAAAAATCACACAAATAAATCGGTAGCTCCAAATAACCCCATTGCATTAATTATTTTTCAGTAATGCAAATTATATAATTGGATTGTATCAATTTGTAAACATTGAAGTAAAACCCTCTAATCTTTTTACATTTTGGTAACATTTCTTTGTAACAGAAAATTATTCTAGTTTTAAGGATACATTTTAATAAAAGAAGCTCATTTCGTCCGCCTGATGGGAGAGTATAACGCTATACTGTATAACGAGTGTGGGCTCAATCACCTTAAAACAGCGACTACAATGTCTTAGCGCTTGAGGTGGTTGTAACCATTGGCAACGCTCTTGGAGGTGAGTCTCTTCTCACCCGCAGTACGCTCCATCTCGACCATCTTGACCTGGTCCGAGGCCACGGGGCCGATACACACCAGGGGGTCCTTGAAGTAGGAGCAAACCTGCAACACGAATAATCACTCGATAGGCTTAGTTTCAAGTCCATGTTTGATGGTGGTAAGATTATGATACGCCAACAGTTATGTCAATTTCCCCCCTTGGCTGGGTTGGTGTACACATCTGGTATGTTATATAATTTTTCGCATGAGGAGAAGATCAGGTTCAAGATACCGAAACGATGTGAAAGTCTTTATTTTAATAATTGTAACGGAAAATTTCCGTAAGCTAATAATTCCTAAAACTTATTTCTTAGCCTAATGTGGTATCTAAACATAATTAACAATTATAAAAAAAAATATTTAAGTATTCGGATGAACGTGGCTTCTTATTTTACACTAGAAATAGTGCAAGTAGAGCTCTTTGAAGATGTTCGACCGTTTGTTTTACAACATCGGACTGAAATACCTATGTGAATGTGAATACCCTTCTATCAACCTCCCTATACCTTTGGGAAATAAAGTTGATTTTAACAAGTATTCCTCAAAGAGATATTTTACTGGAAAGAGTGTATCAAAGAGGTACTGAGAGATTTGTGGACCGTACAGTCGGTCAGTATTCAATACAGGCATCCACGGGGAGTGCATTGACAGCTTCTCTGAATGACACTGTTCAAGACAGCTATACGGGGAAGAGAATCGAATTTACGCTATCCTGCAATTATTGTACCCTTTCCAACCACTCCTTTGAAATACTGTAATTGTATGCATTATAGCTGCGCAACTTAAAAATAAACAATAGTTGGATAAGTTTTATTATATGCACCAAATCCCTGCAAGAGCTCGATGACATCGTCAGAACGACTATGGAAAAAGGAATAAAACTCACCCGCTATTAAAATGGATTACACACAATGGATGGCTATTGACAAGTTAGGAAAAAGTTACACAAATAATATATTTTAGAGTTCTCTATTAATTTTAAAATTTATTTATTTGAATAGGTCTGTACTACCCAGTATTTCCCGCACTAAAAAAACAAAATTATTGTTCTGGAAAAGTCATAATCTACAGTTGCAGATTGCAAACTAAATATCAAAATATGGCCTGTTTTGCGCAAGGATTAATGAGTAGGCCCTACCTTGCGTGCTGCTTGGCGGTGTCTACGCTGGAACTGGCAACACAACCCCTTGTGGATATCACACTCACTGCTCATCATACAGTCTTCACCTATAAACACAACACATTAAACACAGCAACTGGCAACACAACCCCTTGTGGATATCACACTCACTGCTCATCATACAGTCTTCAGCTATAAACAACACATTAAACACAGCAACTGGCAACACAACCCCTTGTGGATATCACACTCACTGCTCATCATACAGTCTTCACCTATAAACAACACATTAAATACAGCAACTGACAACACAACCCCTTGTGGATATCACACTCACTGCTCATCATACATTCTTCACCTATAAACAACACATTAAATACAGCAACTGACAACACAACCCCTTGTGGATATCACACTCACTGCTCATCATACATTCTTCACCTATAAACAACACATTAAATACAGCAACTGACAACACAACCCCTTGTGGATATCACACTCACTGCTCATCATACATTCTTCACCTATAAACAACACATTAAATACAGCAACTGACAACACAACCCCTTGTGGATATCACACTCACTGCTCATCATACATTCTTCACCTATAAACAACACATTAAATACAGAAACTGACAACACAACCCCTTGTGGATATCACACTCACTGCTCATCATACATTCTTCACCTATAAACAACACATTAAATACAGCAACTGACAACACAACCCCTTGTGGATATCACACTCACTGCTCATCATACATTCTTCACCTATAAACAACACATTAAATACAGCAACTGACAACACAACCCCTTGTGGATATCACACTCACTGCTCATCATACATTCTTCACCTATAAACAACACATTAAATACAGCAACTGACAACACAACCCCTTGTGGATATCACACTCACTGCTCATCATACATTCTTCACCTATAAACAACACATTAAATACAGCAACTGACAACACAACCCCTTGTGGATATCACACTCACTGCTCATCATACATTCTTCACCTATAAACAACACATTAAATACAGAAACTGACAACACAACCCCTTGTGGATATCACACTCACTGCTCATCATACATTCTTCACCTATAAACAACACATTAAATACAGCAACTGGCAACACAACCCCTTGTGGATATCACACTCACTGCTCATCATACATTCTTCACCTATAAACAACACATTAAATACAGCAACTGACAACACAACCCCTTGTGGATATCACACTCACTGCTCATTATACATTCTTCACCTATAAACAACACATTAAATACAGCAACTGGCAACACAACCCCTTGTGGATATCACACTCACTGCTCATCATACAGTCTTCACCTATAAACAACACATTAAATACAGCAACTGGCAACACAACCCCTTGTGGATATCACACTCACTGCTCATCATACAGTCTTCACCTATAAACAACACATTAAATACAGCAACTGACAACACAACCCCTTGTGGATATCACACTCACTGCTCATCATACATTCTTCACCTATAAACAACACATTAAATACAGCAACTGACAACACAACCCCTTGTGGATATCACACTCCCCATGTAGCACAGATGGTTGGGCCAACGTTGGCCAACTGTGGAACAGTTGGTCGATGGTTGGTTGGAGCTTCCACAACCAACAAACCGTTGTCCAACTGTATATCTCGTAGTTGGGCCAACCAATATTTACAACTGTGGACCAACATTGGTTCATTGTTAATGAAATACATTAATATGCATTGCTGGGTATCATACATCAAGCCAACTGTTGTCCAACCGTTTTTCACTCCGCTGGACCAACAAAAGATACTTTTGTTGGACCAACGATGGTCCATAGTTGAGTTTACACGACTTTCATTCTCTGGGTCTAGCTTTCACAACATAATTATAATAAAATATCTGGTTTTACAATACCTTTATCAGTTCCAAAAGTTTCCAAAAGTTTTTGGAACTGATAAAGGTATTGTAAAACCAGATATTTTATATATTACAGTTCCGGGGCTACAACAATGAATTTTAATAATTATAATAATGCAAATATTTTTTAAATTAATATTCTTTAACTTATTTGCAACAATTTAAGGGGAAAGAGTAATTAATCATATAACAGTTAATTATAATAGCATTAATAATCTAACGGTAATTAATTAATCTATATTCAAATACCAGTATCCTCTCTAACTCAAAAAAAAAAAAAAATAACTACTTATGATGCCTTAACAGATTAACAGAATAATATTATACTGTGTAGTATCAAAAATGTTTGAAGTATTGCGACCATTGCAACTGTCGGCTACTCTTTCACCACTTGAAAACTCTCTAAATCAACAATCACAGATAGCTCAGTGGTAAGGTAGGCTCATAAGTCGAAGGACCCGGGTTCGAGACCCGTCTGGGCCAAAAAATTTTGTTCTAGCTTTTTTTCAAAATTTGTTTTTATGAACTATTAAATCAATTTACTCAACTAATAATTATGCTTTTTGTACTAAATCTTTATTATTTTGTGTGAAATAAAACGGTTGGGCCATTGTTGGACAATGGTTGGCTGGAAAACAGTTTAAAGAGGTGACATTTCTACCGTTGGCCAACTGTGTGGCTCCACAATTTACCAACGTTGGCCCAACCATCTGTGCTACATGGGTCACTGCTCATCAATCCTGTATCGAGGGAGCGGATGTTTACATGCTATTCAATTTATATTATGCTATTATATTATGGATTTGCAATTCGAGTGGTGAATGCAGATGAATGGGCTCGTTTCCCGGCGAAGAGGATAAGATAGAAGACGAAGGCTCGCCAATCACAACTCTACACGAGACATCAGCGACATCAGGGTTAGGAGCATCACATGAGCTTATCACTTAATAATTTCGTTTGGAACAATCAGATTTAGTGGAAATCAAAGGTAAATAACCTGGCTGATGTAGAAGAACATAAATCTCTAAGTAAATCATTACCTCTTCTATTGAGATGTCGGCCATCCCGGCATAAATGTGTGCATTAATCAACAAACTATTGAATGTACTACGCATGCTCGTTATATTTACCTTATTATTGAGTGTGCGCTTCATTTACAGCTAATACTTGTCAAGGGTTCAGTTATGTTGCCTAGAGCTTTGTAAAATCATGCTATCAAGGTTGGGGTTGCTTAACATTGTTAATTGTAGTTGATTACTGTATAATTTCATAGTGTTGTGACACGCTGTAAAGGGTATTTAGCTAATGTAACACTTTACAAATGGTAAGTAAAGATGATTAAATATTGTCATAATTATAGTTTATCTTCACTTGAAAATATTTTATCTTTTATGTGAATCCCACCAAAATAAACAGAGGCGAATAGTGCAAACTATTGACTTGACAAGGAATTGGCGTGGGGCGTTTGAAATGTTTGACAAACAGCAACACAAATACTCATTATCGGCTCCGGAATCAATCATACAATGCCTAATGGCTTAACAACATCGCGTCAAATTGCTCAACACTTGCAATCGTTGTTCTGCAATAATCGGCTTCAACATACGCTTCAAACAGTTATTCTTTCTGTTTTGTTCTTAGCTTATTTTGAAAATTTAATGTGTTCAAGTTTTTCTTAACATAAGTTTTCTGTTTGAAATAATTGTTTACAATTCACTATGTTCTATTTTCAAACAATTCACTATTTTCTTCTTAGGAGAGTGTTGGTTGGGTAGGGAACGTATTGGTTTTGTGTGTTGGAGCTGAGGGTTCAAAACACATCGTTTACAAATTACTCTTCGGTGCCCACAACGATATAAGGACTCAGTACAAATTTCAATAAAATAAAAGGGAAACAAATATTTTTGGGATTTTCATTTTGAGCATTCTCTATCATATCCGCTAACAGTGATAACGCATAGTTTGCAAACTCTAAGCGTCAAGTTTTTGGTTTACCCACAAATTATAACTATACATAGCAAAGATAGTTTTTGTTGAACCCGAAGTTCGAAGTTTCCAGTTTCTAAAACGACTATGAATGTTTTTACACCAATCCTAGTATTTGTTCGGTTACGGCTGCAAAGATTAATTTCATAGTTCTGACGTTTTGATAAACGAATGAAAAACCAAGATTCTATGAAAAATGTATATTGATAATTGATAGGTAATTGCTAAATTATAAGCGATGATTTAATTGGGGAATTACTTTAAAATATAAACCCCCTCTACAAGTACCAGATTTTAAATATCAAATTTCGAATTGACATAACCAGTGTGCTACCGAAACAATTTTGGGAATGTTTAAGCTGTTAAATCGTTACAATGATATAAGCTCGTTTATTGGTTAGTTTATCACAGAGTACAGTAGTAGGGTGGGTGGGTTAATTTAGGGAGTTTAACTACTGAGAAACAGTTGCAATGGCTTGCTGGCAATCGATAATAAGGCAGACAATCTGAAAACTTTTGGTTAAATGTTATTTGGGTGTGGCAATTCTTTTGCTGTTAATTTTCTTGTTGTAAAATAGGAATGTTCTTAAAAATGAAATAATTCAAGTTTTTCGATAGAAAATGGTTTCAATTTAATTATGTAACTACCTGAATCCATGTTAGATTTGTTATAATCCCCCTTTAGTCGTAAAAACATTTAAAAAACTTCCACAAAAATATAAAACGTATTGCCATTTTTACAGATTTCATTTTAGTTTGTGGCATGTTTTTCTACTCAAGAGTCTCGAAATATTGACATAAAACATATAATACATACAACATCCATACAACATATAATATACAACGTAAAGTTAGATAGACTATAAAGTATATTTGCTATTTCTAAAATTAAGAGGTTCATGAACTAGGATCCCTACTATAGTCTTTAAAAGTATATTGTTGTGGTCAGATATCGTAAAAAATACAATACAATTTGACATACATTTGATGTTTGGGAAAGGTAATGTGTGTCCTTTAATGATGTTATACCCTGTATCTTCATAGTATAATTATCAGAGTGGTATCATATACGAATCTAGGTGAAACAGCTGATAGTAGAAAAACAGGTTTAAGCCGGATTCACTCAAAGCAGTAATTTGATTGTTTCAATTATGTGTGTAGATAATAGATGCATGGATACTCACTGTATTGTTTGCGACTAGCTACAGCTGGCTGGCAGGACCGTGTGTCTCCAGTATGCATACAGACTAGGCCAGTCTCACACTCACTTATTGTATTATGTGTGTAGATAATAGATGCATGGATACTCACTGTATTGTTTGCGACTAGCTACAGCTGGCTGGCAGGACCGTGTGTCTCCAGTATGCATACAGACTAGGCCAGTCTCACACTCACTTATTGTATTATGTGTGTAGATAATAGATGCATGGATACTCACTGTATTGTTTGCGACTAGCTACAGCTGGCTGGCAGGACCGTGTGTCTCCAGTATGCATACAGACTAGGCCAGTCTCACACTCACTTATTGGATTATGTGTGTAGATAATAGATGCATGGATACTCACTGTATTGTTTGCGACTAGCTACAGCTGGCTGGCAGGACCGTGTGTCTCCAGTATGCATACAGACTAGGCCAGTCTCACACTCACTTATTGGATTATGTGTGTAGATAATAGATGCATGGATACTCACTGTATTATTTGCGACTAGCTACAGCTGGCTGGCAGGACCGTGTGTCTCCAGTATGCATACAGGAGTGAAAATTTAAAAACGTACGTTTTCAGGAAAAGCACTTTGCAAATTTGTTTCCCCTTTTTTCAAAACTTTTATTATTATTTTTTATTTTATTAACATTTGAAGTTTTATAAAATGTCCATGGTAACGCAATATCTTTGGTAGTTTTTTTTTTAAAGAGCATCTTTAGTGGAAAAACACAAAATTCTGTCACGACCATAACGGACGTTTAAATGAATATTAAAAATAGTTAATATTTTTTTTATAACTATGTTTTGCTACAAACTATTTTACTTTTATGACCATTATACAATAAAAAGGTCACTGAGCTTTTGGTATATTTGGTCTTTCTAGAAAAAAAGAAAAAACTCAAAAAATTGAAAAAAAGCCAATAAAATCTTTTTAAGTTTGTATAACTCCGAAAAAACTTACCAGAGACCCGATAAATCGTTATGTTTTATAGAGGTGTGCTTCTTTTGTGTATAAAACATTAAAATATGACGATATTTTAATTTTTGAATTTTTTATGATAGAAATCATAAACGTGATGGTCAGGGACAAGCGGTACGGTCGTGAATTGTCTGGAATAATCTAAATCTTTCTAAACAATCCTTCAATTATACTGTTAGATATAATAAAATTATGTGTTTCAATTGAACTAAACTGTTCAATTTACAATTATATTAAAGTTATTGTCACGACCAAACACACTATAATCCATAAGGCTGGATTGGTCGTGAAAAAAACCGCGATGGTCGTGAAACTTTGGTCGTGAAATTACGTGTTATTTGGCTCTGTTCTGGCGGTAGCCCTGCACCTCATGTTCGAGGATACAAAGTGAACTTCTAGGTTAATCTAGCAATTGAAATATCTTATAAACTAAAAATAACACCATGTCTACTTCATCGAATGACTACGTACGGTCATGGACACACCAAAATTACAAAAAACACAATCTTTCCTTTATTAATCTTGTAATTCCTCCTTTCAACTCGAAACGACCGGCACTACAATCCTGACGTACACCCCGAACTAGTCTCTAAAACCAACTGACTCCATCGACGCCAGGCTTGCCACTGTCGTGCCCCAAAGTTGAAAATTTTTCCCAAATGGTCGTGACGCCAAATCGAGGGACAGACTTATTTTGTCATGGTAGTCAGTTTGCAATTACAATAAAATTATAATATGCTCCTTTTTTGTAAGTTTAATAACCATTGATGACATAATAATATGGCTTTATATATTTCGGCATGAATAATTAGTCTAAAAACAGCGTGAAAGTTGGAAAATGTACCCTAGGGACACGTCATGGTCGTGAATTTCGAGACTTTAAAAATACGAAAAAAATACCTAGAACCTATTTAAAACCAAATAAATGTGTGTAACATGTTGCCCCCGTCCCAAAAAATATTAAAACACATAATAATAAACTACAAACCAGTATCTACGAAGTAAAAGGCTAGGGACATGAAAACGTACGTTTTTAAATTTTCACTCACAGACTAGGCCAGTCTCACACTCACTTATTGGATTATGTGTGTAGATAATAGATGCATCGATACTCACTGTATTGTTTGCGACTAGCTACAGCTGGCTGGCAGGACCGTGTGTCTCCAGTATGCATACAGACTAGGCCAGTCTCACACTCACTTATTGTATTATGTGTGTAGATCTAGACACGAGTGTAGGTAGTAGATGCATGGATACTCACTGTATTGTTTGCGACTAGCTACAGCTGGCTGGCAGGACCGTGTGTCTCCAGTATGCATACAGACTAGGCCAGTCTCACACTCACTTATTGGATTATGTGTGTAGATAATAGATGCATGGATACTCACTGTATTGTTTGCGACTAGCTACAGCTGGCTGGCAGGACCTTGTGTCTCCAGTATGCATACAGACTAGGCCAGTCTCACACTCACTTATTGGATTATGTGTGTAGATAATAGATGCATGGATACTCACTGTATTGTTTGCGACTAGCTACAGCTGGCTGGCAGGACCGTGTGTCTCCAGTATGCATACAGACTAGGCCAGTCTCACACTCACTTATTGGATTATGTGTGTAGATAATAGATGCATGGATACTCACTGTATTGTTTGCGACTAGCTACAGCTGGCTGGCAGGACCGTGTGTCTCCAGTATGCATACAGACTAGGCCAGTCTCACACTCACTGTCCCGCTGACAGAACTCGCCCAACCTCAGTCCAAACACGTACACACAGTGGCCGATATCTACAAACAGGTGAAAGGAGAAGTTTTAATTGCCAACATCCTCCAAAAATAGACAAATTATTTCCTTGGACACTACCTGATGACAATCTAATAATTCGACAAATGCTCTATGCTATTAAAAAAAACACCCTATTCTCCATGTATAGGCTACTACTATGAATTTTGTTAGTTCGAAAATAGTACTGACAATTACAAAATCCTTTTGTTAGTCAACTTTCTGACATTCTTGAACTTCTTCAACTAGTCTGCATTATCTTAAGTATTTTTAACACATAGCTTTTTCATCTATTTTAAGTTAATATTATCCATTCGTGCTTGAAATATTCAAAACCCCTCTAGCATACCACGTGTTAGACAATATATATCAGAGCTGACTGCCGAAACTATGTTACAAGTTGTCCTGAAATATTTGGGTGGAAAAAGTTCTCTCTGGGTGGGAAACCTCTCAAACATGTAAAGCGAAAGATAAATAGTTACGCCCTACAAATGTGAACATAATTTCTAAGAGTGAAACAGTTCTATAATGGCTAGATATGAGGAAACTGTTTACCTATAGTTTATTTAGTTATAAAACATTAACTAATCTTCCTTTGTTTAAATCAGTAAATGAAAAAAAAAAAATGGTATTGGTATTAACTATCTGTAAGGTGTGAACCCGTCGCATCTAAATATTAAATTAATTTATTGCCTTATATTATATAGATGTAATTATATAATATTTATTAATATACCTCTATTTATGAGCTCAGTGACCATATGCATTATTTAATTGATAATGTGTATCCTATCATATTTTACATCTATACATTTCCATCTTCTTATGCAGAAATTGTCGCATTATTTATAAAAACGAACACAAATTGTATGTTGTATCACACTTTGCCGAAAATAAGATAATTTGGTAACCTTCTTTTTCATTTTTACAATCTTTTTACACATCTTATCCCTTATAATGGACCTTAGATTGACGCCAAAGAGGAATTATGTTAAAGGAAGAGATTAGTATAAAACAGATTAGTATAAATAATTTATAAATTTTTTTTTGCATATGAACAAGATTACATTAATTCTATAAGTGCATTGTAAAACTTAACGACCATATTATTTTTCACTTAAACCCGAACTTCGTACCTTAGACAAATGTTTGTTGGAGGAAGCCAAACTTTGAACATTGGTCCAAACTTTGCTATTATAAAAGGGGAGGATGTAGCTTCTATGTTTTACTTTTACCTGACAATTGCTTCCGCTGTTTTAGTTGGGTTGGATAATAATGAACAAAATAAATCAGTTATCACTTAACTATTCTCAAATGTCAAATATGAACATTGTGAGTTAGCAATGTTTAAGATCTTTGTGCATAGAAATAGCACTTGTTGACCAATATCACACTGTTGGACTTGCAGGAATGTTGAAAATAACAAAGCATTTCCAATTTACAACTCAGGCGTCGCACGAGGATTCAAACGTTGTATATTAATGATATGCAAGAGTGCTGTGTCATGTTTTGGAGGAAACAGTTTGTTATTTCCAAAATGCGTCACTTTATCAGAGTAATAAGAATGTATTCAGCTCCAAGCCAATGTTTTGGACGACTTTCTCATTTGAAATCTTTACAATTAATCTTTTTCTACAATATTTTTTAAAATCAAGAATCAATATTATTCAAGCAATAATACTAGGCACCAATTCAGGATATACACACGGAAGTACAATATTTAAAAAAATAAAATGTAAAAAACATTTATCACTGCAGATTGACGAATATAGATTTTAACACTTGCTAAAACATTATACTCGAAATAGATCAGGTACACTATTGAAATTTGTCAAAATAAATTTAAAATAAATACTACAGTGAGGATTAAATATTTCGTTTTCTATGCATTTTTCCTACGCTGTATTTTGATATTTACTGAATATAAAGTCTGTATATTTCACCATACACGGATAAATGTTCACAGCATTTGGTTTTTTTGCTAAATACACAAACATTTAGGACGGATATAGGACATAAATATGTGAATTCGAAAGGTAAAACGACGAAGGAAGACAAGTTATGAGATTTTCTTGTAAATATCATTGATCGAAGCTCCACAGTCACGACATAGGGCAATGTTTGCGGTAGTCACTCGTCCCTGTAGTAGCATCAATGTTATCCATTTTTGTCTTACAGTACATTTAATTTTTGTAACTTTCTATAAAATATTATATATATATATATGTTTGAGAATAACAAATATTATATCAAGTTCAAAATTAAATTAATCATTTGATTGTTTTTTTAGACATAAAAACGTTTCCTACATTTCGTAATCTCGACGTTAAAAATATAGCTTTCTAGAAAAGGGATTCGAAAATTGCCCTGTTAAGGCATAAACGTGTTTAAAAACACGCCTGTTGAACAACCGAGCAAACCTACTGGGGCAAACCTACTGTTTGATGATATATTTTAATTCTTTATTATTTCTATATTTTTAATTCGAGCAGCGTTAATCGGTTTCGTGATAAATTTATTCGGGCTATCTTTCCCATAAACCCTAAATTTGTTTACATGTTTATTATGGTGATTTGGGAGAAATAAAGTTAATTCTAAATATTAACTCTATTCTGCTCTTTTCCTTATTAATTATCTTTTTTTATAATTTTTATCTAGATATGTAAGGTCATCAAAAAATATTCTGATTTTATGAGGGTTTATTATTGAGGTACAAAAAAACAAAAAACAAATGTATCTAAAAAAATTGCAATATTTTGGTTTAATGAAAATATATGGATTCCATATACATATCATAGTCATATGCATAGTTAACAACCAACCACGCAGTTATAAAGGAATAAACATGAATTAATTGAATAATAAACATGACCATAAAAAATAATTACAAAAACTAAGAAGGGAAAAGAGTAAACACGTGTGGGATTCAGAGGAGAGAGAGGAAAAAATGATCAGGAGACTAGGATATAAATGACCAGGAGACCAGGATATAAATGATCAGGAAACCAGGATATAAATGACCAGGAGAGCAGGATATAAATGATCAGGAGACCAGGATATGAATAATCAGGAGACCAGGATATAAATGACCAGGGTACCAGGATATAAATGACCAGGAGAGCAGGATATAAATGATCAGGAGACCAGGGTATAAATGTTCAGGATACCAGGATATAAATGATCAGGAGACCAGGATATCACTTCCCAAAATAAGGTTTACTGTTAGGAATACTGTAAACATGATAATTTAACATCGGGACATTTTCCCCGTTTAGGTTAACATACATGACTCAATTGAATAAATAGTCATGTAATATATATGTACGTATAACATAAGCTTTTAAAATCGGTCTGTTGCAATAAATTCAATAATTTCCATTTTAAAATGAACATTCAATATGGAATATCATTATAAACGTATTGTTTTATAATGTTTTATAAACATTCTCTAAACCAACTAATTTAATTAAACGATTCGAGTCAATTACGTTGCTGGAAAACTAAAACATTGGTTCAGCGTTATTCGTTTAAAAGTCCGTCTAACAGTGATGAAATATCAACAATGTATAAAGATGACGAAATACAATTACAACTCCTCGTTCTAGTCGTTCACGCGCAGTTAACGTGTAAACAGGTTCGTTTCATGATTTATATAAATTATTCAATCCAGAATTTCAATCGGAAGAAACATCTCTGACACAAACGCTAGGTATTATCTTCTCGATCACGGCTCCATCCATATTATCCTCTTCCCTAATACCTAATACTCACATCTTTATTAGTTTGGATCAGAAGATTATATAAAGTTATATTTTCTCACACTTTATACAGTTATATGTAACCTTCAAGTATTGTGAAACGTTTTATTATTGGAACTATGAAGTAATTAAGAAACAAAACGGGTTTTTGACGTTTTTGTTTGCTATAAACAGGTGGTAAACAGAGGCTCATTTCATACGGTTTATTATTCTCTCAGCAATTTTAAGGCAACTTGATATTAGACACTTTATGTGCGGTTTATTCTTAACTAGCATTACACATGTGTAGATTATAATTTAAATGTTGGGCTATTCTTTAAAGTGTTGATAAAATTTAGGTGTGTAAAAAGCTGATACACTATACAGTGTAGTTTGAAGCTGATATAATTGTTCTTGTTGATTTTTCCAACCCATCGCAGGCCTGTAGCATATAGCCTCCCGATGATATTCTCCAGTGGTCTGCTTTAAATGTGGGATATTATGCAAGTAATTAAATCATGAAACATAAAAAAAATAATGTAGACCTATATATTGTGATAATAATGCTAATAATGCAACATTTAAAAAGTTCAAAAAACATTTTAAAATTAAAACGAATTATACCTTTCCAAATAAACTAAGCAGTGCTCAAAATCATTTAGGTAATACCATTGACTACTGTAGGTATATATAGTCAATGGTAATACCCATTCACATTTGAGTGTATGATGTCTATAGGTTGATCATTTATTTAACATTTTCTTACCCCTTAGCCTCACATTTTGTGGGGCACCAAGGTCGGACCAAATAAAATGGACCCGTATATGTTATTGACGTAGATGCGACGTCGAAGCCGAAATGAAATTCTTCGCACGAGCGCTTCCCTCGTATGACGTTGATTTTGCACCAACGTAAAACTTGATATCTTGGCTTCCGATAAACCAATGAAGGTGGTGAAACACCAAATATATTGCTTCGGAACTTGCTGTGACTATAAACTCGATAGGAGTACTTTGTCTTCATTCTGTATCGTCGGTACAAAACTACTCTCACGGTTGGTTATATTTTATTTACTGTATTTACTCTCATATGTTCGAAAAGGGTATAGAATACGACAGATATGATAACAAATGCACAGAAAATTATGATCATAGAGGAATCGTGCAGGACTTTCAGATACTGAAATAATTCCCTAATAGCTATAGATTTTAAATAAGGTGAAAACAACAATGGAAACAAACAAACGGATGACTCTTGTGTATTGTATG